TGAAATCATCTGGGGCTTGTGAAGACTCTCTTACTGCTATTCTGAGAATGGATTACATTAAATGTTATTTCTGTCAAGCAGTTTTAGCACGTTAGGGCACACCCTCCATTATTCCTTTTACTTCTTTGTTGTATGTGGTCAGTAACAATTTTGTTTTGCTGCTAGTTCTGTCTTTCTGCTACCCTAGAATGAACGTGCAGAGAGAACCCACCATGCCCATCCTGCACGGCACACCCTAAGTGGGTGATCAATCACATTTGAAGAGCAGGTGCGCCAACGCTAACACTTCTTAGCTTGAGAGCGTGTTCCCAGGAATCATCATTAAATGTGTGGCAAATTTCTTTGCCTTTTTAGTTTGTAAAATCTGGTTTTGTCAAGTCATCTATAAGCATCCCAAATGACAGTCATCTCACTTCTCATATTTCTGATAATTAAGCAATTTGCATTGCCTAATGTCTTCCTCAAACCAATTTCATCTCCTGCCTCTATGTATTTCCCCACCTCACCGAGTGATGTTTCTTATGTCACAGTCTTTCTCTTTAAAACCAGACAGGATAAGGCCTCCCTGATGGCACAGCGGGTTGAGTGCAGTGCTGTGAAGCTGTCCGCAGCCACTGCAGTGCAGCACTGGTTCGGATTCCTGGCCAGCCAGGGAGATTCCCACATTGCACAGCAGACCTCTCCTGTCTCGCCTGCTGCTCCCCTCAGCAGTGTATTTTGGTCCTTCTGCCTGTAATGCTCCCTGCTCTGTCTCTGGTGAAGTCTCTCACCCTCCTATCCTCTGGCCTGTACCCCACTGCTTTTATAAAATAAAAAAAATCTTAAAAAAAAACAAAGACAGGATAGCAATTCCTTTCCATCTGCTACTGTGTGCCTGGCTTTGTTGTAGTAACGTTTGGTTTTTCAATACTATGAAGATTACAGGTTTTTACTTTTCATGCTTGAAATAAAGTGTCAGAGACAATTCTCCCCGGATAGTTGACATTTCTGTGCAGCCTGGGTCCTCTGGGTGAAGGTATTTGCATTCAATTCAAGAATGTTTTTATAAAGAGATTCCAAGGTCGTGAAGCTGGAGATATCTCCCCTAGAGACAAACCTGCCCCTCTCCCAGAGGCAATTATTTGCATTCTGGGTGTAATGAATGCAGTTGTCCCTTAGTATCTTGGGGATTGCTTCCAGGGGTCCCCAGGGATACCAAAGTCTATGACTACTCAAGAATATAAAATGGGGCCTCCCTAGTGGCACAAGGGGTTAAGCACCACAGTATGAACCAATCCACAGCCTCTGCAGCATGAGTTCAATCCCCAGCCGGCCAGAGAGCTACCCACATGGCGCAGCAGACCTCTCCTGTCTCCCTGCTGCTCCCCTCCGCAGAGCATTTCGGTCCTTCTGCCTGTTCTGTTCCCCACTCTGTCTCTGGTAAATCCTCTCATTCGCCACATCTTTGGCCTGTATCCCAGCTCTTGTATGCATAAATAAATAAATCTTTAAAAAATATATAAAATGTTTATCTAAATGGTTTAATATCTGCACATTACCCATGGGCATCCTCCTGTATACTTTAAATCACTTCCTGATTATTTCAAATACCTAATACAATGTAAATGCTATTTAAATAGTCAAGTTGGCTTGATCTGGGCTTATGAAGGACCAACTACAGTCTCAGGAGGGGGAGTGGGCACCCCATACAAGCCTAGAATCTTCTGAGGTGAAGTCCACTTCATGCAGAGCTAACACCTGACCCTTGTCATTTCACGCACAGGAGTTGGACCTCAGGTAAGGGACACACTCTATGTGTCCGACCTTATTGTTATGAGTAATCAGTTTTGTCCATGACCCAGTGCTCGTGTGTCTTTCAGTATGAGTCACTTCGGCAGAATCCTTTTTATTGTACAAAATAGTGTACTCACAGTTTCCACAGGACATGGGCATCTGTGGTGGGGACTATTACTCATCTGCCACAGTCCAACCCCCTGATTCCCAAAGACTCACATCCATCCCTTGAGAAATAACAGTCATCTATTCCAAGGTTCCCAAGAGTCTCAACCCTTTATGGTATCAAGTCAAGTCCAAAATCTCAATTTTCATCTGCTCAGACTTCTCAAATCATGTCTAAATTAAGTACAGTTCTAGGTACAGTTCTGGGTACAACCCGTCCTGGTACAAAATCTTTTTTTTTAAAGATTTATTTATTTATGCATACAAAAGCTGGGGTACAGGCCAGAGATGCGGGGGGTGAGAGGATCCACCAGAGACAGAGTGGGGAACAGAACAGGCAGACTGAGTGAAATACACTGCTGAGTGGGGCAGCAGGCGGGCAGAGGCTGCAGATTGCTTCATAGTGTGGTGCTTAACCCCTTGCACCACCAAGGAGGCCCAAAATCTTTATCTGTGTACCTGTGAAATTAGAAAACACATGATTAGAAAATTATGTGCTCCAACGATACTGTGGTGGGATCGGCATAAGGGAACACTGATAACCATTCCCTTTCAAAAAGGGAGACTGATAGGCACCAGGCAATCACTCAAAATCTGTCTGGGCAAACCCCATTAAGCTTCAAAGTCTGGGAATGACTCGTACGTGACTTAACTTGTGCCCCTGCCCTCTGGACCCGTGGCTTCACTTTCACATTGTAAAGATTCATGAAGAACAGTCTACACCTGCCACTGAGTGGTTTTTATCAGCCTGTTTTCTGTCTGTAGAATTTTAGGACAAGCTTCTTTCATTTTGTCCCTGGTCTGTCCCTTTTAGACCAAAGTGATCATATTTATAGGATATAACATTCTCAACAGCTTTGTGGGCCACAAGGATTCCCAGCATTAGAAAAGTGGCGACTCTGTCATCGTGCCTGAATTATCTCAGCTCTGTTTTGGGCTTTAGAGAGAGCTGAGAGGACTTGTTCCATCCAACTCCCGGGACTCCGCTGAGCTTGAAACTTCTAACCTCTTGTACATCCTAAGCACTAGCCAAAGGCTATCCATTCTTAAATCTGCTCACGGTGAACCTTTTAATTTTATATGTACATTATCGCTCATTAAAAAATGTTTTAAAAGGTTGTCCCGTCACAAGGTTGCCTTTCCAGAGTTTACTTTCCTGACTGTGGGTATGCTTCAGTGCCTTTTGCAGTCTGGATAGGCTGAGAATTTCCCAGGTCATCAGATTCTTGTTCTTTTTGTAACAGTTCTCTCAATATATTTCTTTCACATTTTACTAAAAGCTACACAAAGACAAATCATACTTTCAATACTTTGATGTAAATCTTTTTTTTTTTTATAACTTTGATGTAAATCTTAACTGAATATTCAAGTTCACTGCTCACAAGTCCTGTTTGTACAGAATGATAGGACATAATTATCTTGGCTACCTACATTCTAGAACAGGAACACGTTCCTCAGGTTAACAAGACCTGTTCCTGTCTCCTTCTGAGTTCTCACCTGAAGTGCTTTAAATATGCATTTTTTTTTCCACAAACCATGTGATAATTTAGGTATTCTCTAAGTACGGACTTCTCTACCACATGCTTTGCTTCTGAGTCTACCTCAGCACAACCTGCTTTGTTTCTTTCTTTTTTTAAAAGATTTATTTATTTATTTATGCATAAAAGAACTGGGGGATAGGCCAAGGTGCAGGGGGATGAGAGGATTCACATCCCCCCGCAGAGAGTGGGGAAAGGAACAGGCAGATCTACCGAAATACACTGCTGAGGGGAGCAGAGGGCGAGACAGGAGAGGTCTGCTGCGCCCTGTGGGTTGCTCCCTGGCCAGCCCAGGATCTGGAATAGAACTTGTGCTTCAGTGGCTGGTGATAGCTTAATCACGCTGTGCCTTTAACCCCTGAGCCACCAGGGAGGCCCCACAACCTGCTTTCTACTAAAAGTCTGTTCAGGCAATTGATAGACTTTCACCATCATCTTTCTCTAAATCTTCCAGCATCTACCCATTACCCACTTCTAGACCATTCCACGGTTTTGGTATTCGTTCCAGCACAGTGCCTCTCGAGTGGAGTGAGGAAAACTTTCTTCTGAAGACTGAGCTCACCGCACCTACTCTCCAGTCTCACCTGTTCACAGATTCTGGCCAAGATCAGCCGAGAGCAATAGTCCTGCCCTGGTGATGTGCCACGCTCAGCCCTGGGAGTGAAGGAAAAGGGGCCATTCTTTCATTTTAGCCTTTTTGGCTTTTTCTCCCGCACACTAGGGTTTTGCACCTGCTGGGAAGGGAGATGGGGGGTGTCCTACAGGTGACTTCCCTGAATTCGCTCACCTGTAAACTGGAGGTGATAAGCCTACCTTGGCCTGATGACATGAGAAGGAGTGATTATGTTTGCAGAGTACCACATCAATAAATATTCATTTTGGTGGTTATTATTTCCTGAAAACAAAAAGCTCATCCTAGCAGTGGGGTGGGGACGTCTGTGAGAGTGGTGGATTGCGCACAGAACTATCCTGGTGACTGAACTCTCAATCTCCCCGCGGCCAACCTGGCTTCTCCTTGGGGGCTCCCTGCTGCCGACTCTAAGATTAGACAAGTACAAAAGTCCTGGTGATGTCCCGGCTTCACTCTGGGCGGAAACCCAGCTGTGGAACTGGCTTAGGGTCCACAGACGCCAGCTTGTCTGTGAGGAGCAGCACAGAGACCTCGAGGTGAAAACCAGACAGGCTGACTCAGCCGTTGGGCTACCCCAGAGCCCAGCAGAGCTGACGACCTTGGCAGCCAGCAGGAGGGCAGCCTTCTGTCTGGGGATTTATTTTATTTTATATTATATAATTCTGACATCATTTTCCATCGTTGCACAATGTCTGCATTTTCATTATGGTTATATTCCCCACACAATTGCACCCCCCCCTTATTTTGACTCTAGTCCACTTTTGCCCAACACTCCAGGCCGACAAAGTGGCAGCCAATCCTAAAGCCCCGCCAGGGATGAAGGGCGCCCAGGCCATCTCCCTGCTGATGTTTGTAAAACTGCCCAGGCCCTGCCCCTGCTGGACGCACTTTCTCCATTTCCTGCCCCTGCTGGACCGACTGCACTTTCGATTTCCTGGTGGGGCGGAGTGAGGAGCTAATGACCCTCTGCTGGAGTAAACACCCTGGAGAGCGCATCGCATCCAGATCATTTCCAAACGACAGAGGCTGCGAGGGAGCCACGGGGTGCAGGGGCGAGTGCAGCCAGGAATAGGGGAGCCGCCCTTTTGCCCGGAGAATAAGCAAAGTCCCTCGATGGCTTCCCCGGGGAGCGCGTTCTCTTTGGGGCTGCTGCTGCTGCTGCTGCTGGCGGGGGGCGCCCGGGGGTGGCGCGGGGAGGGCAGCCACCCGCACCTGCACAGCCTCTTCCTGGGCCGCTGCCTGCAGTACCTGGACCTGCTGAGCCCCGAGGAGCGGCGGTGAGCGCGGTGGGCGGGCGGGCTGGGGGGTGGGCTTAGGGGGTTCGCTCAGCTCAGCGCAGGCCAGGCTGGGGAGAGAGGAGAAAAGACAGAAGGGTGGGAGGGAGAAGGGGGTGCTGGAAGGTGAAATGGGTCTAGAGGTCCGGTGAGGGGAAGGGGTGGCTGGGGATGTTGACCTGATAGGGGTTTGTCCCGGAGGGCAGGTGGGGGTCTGAAGGTCAGCCTTGCTCAGTGTGGCGCGTGGAGACCAGAGGCAAGGTGGGGACAGTGTGGGGTGGGGGGTCTCCATGTGAGGACTCACATGTGGGGGCTAGAGGTGAGGGGGTGTGTGAGTGAGAGAGAGCAGGTGGGTTGGGGTTAGTGTAAAGGTGAGAGGTGTGTTGTGAGAAGGGGGTCTGGAGGTGAGAGTGGTCTGTGTGTGGGTGTATGTGAGGGGTAGGGAGGGGGTCAGTCTACAGGTGTGGGTGTGGGTGTATAAGAATGGGGGCCATCAGAGGACAAGGCAGAAGGGCTTTGGGTGACAGCACAGGCACGTCAGCACAGGACTATGGGCTCGAGTCCAGGTTCCCTGAGTCCCGGTGCTTCTGGAATTCCTATTTTAGACCTTTTAGTAACAGGAGTTTTAAAACTTGGGTCTTCCTTGCCAGCACTGCTCTCCTTACTCATTTTTAGGCCTCTTTGGACCCACTTTTTCTGTCTCCCATAACTGGGACATATTTTAAGCAAATACAAGAGAGCAGGGGACACCACAAGGAGCACCCACGTTTCCCACCCCTGTGTGCAGAAACAAAAGTCCCCTGGGGGGACATGGGTTGGGAAAGTGGGGAGCCCAGGAGCTGGGCTGGAGCTGGAGGGCGCACTTAATACACGAACAACCTGTCTCCACACCCGACACCCACTGCCGATGCACAAGTCCTGTCCTCGGCCTGGCCCCACCCGCCCTCAAGCTCCCTGAAGGGGCAGCTGAGGTCAGGGCCGTGTGCTCTGCTGAAGTTGTCACCCAGCACCTTTGCCTTTTCTGCTCCGGGGCCGGGGTGAGACTGTATCCTGAGCCCCAAGATGTGGGGAGAACCTTCTTCTGAGATGCTGCCACGGTCAGATTTAGAAACCCATCCCCTGGGACTTTGATTTCCTCTTTTGAGTTGGGGTTAACGCAGAGCGTGCAGTCATTTCTGGACGCCTAGCTCTGCAGAGGTGAGAGCTGGCAGAATCGTCGTAAGCGGTGAAGCTCTCGGAGCACTTGGGGAGCAGTGCACAGGCGGGCTGCGGGCGGTCGCTTTCTGGTTTGTAATGTGTACTTTGGTGCAGGGACAAGAACTGCACGGCCATCTGGGAAGCCTTTCAAGTGGTTTTCTATAAGGATCCCTGTAATGTGACTTCCTCTGACTACGATCTTTTTATTAAGCTCTCCAGGCACTCCATTCCTAGAGACAAGGTAATTACACACACGCACGCACACACACACACACGCACACAGCTCTGGTCTATGGAGGCAGAAGGTGCATGGCCAGGAGGGACAGGAACTGTCCCCAATGAATGACAGTGTCAATCAAACACCCAACAAGAAACTCTCAATGACGCTTGATCCGCGCGGCAAGGGCAGGTTTGTCTTCCGGGTGATTCTGGGCATCCTGCCCATCAACCAGGGTAAAGGGAAATTTCTTAAGCCAACAAATCAGTCCAGGAGTCCCAAGGACATTAGGATGTTAACACGCTGTTCACACTGTTCTGCACCAGCTCAGTTCCGAATAACTCTGACCCAGCTGGTCCCCAAAGCCAGACCCTTGAGTTACTCAGAAGCTCACCTCACTATCCCCACCCCCCAGGAGTCAGTCCCACTTTCAGAGACATTAAGATTACATCCATTCAGTGCCGATTTCTTTAAGAAAACCAGAGGTTTGTGTTCTCTTTGCACTCTATATTCTAATAAAAAATAAGTAAGACAACTTATGTACAATACTTGCTTAGAACAGTACCCTGAGCTTCAAGAAAGATACCATTTGTTTGATACGTGATATTTCATACATAATAACTTAATACATAATAATTCTCTTTTTCCTCCATTTTCTTGAGATGCATTTGACTGTATTGCAGAAATAAGGCATACAACACGATGATTTGGCTTACTTATAACATGAAATGATTACCACAATAGTTTAACACAATAGTTTTAGTTAACATGTCATTGTCTTATTTATTTATTTATTTATTTATTTATTTATTTATTTATTTATTTATTTATTTAAAGGTTTATTTATTTATACAAGAACCGGGGTACAGGCCGATGTTGCGGGAGGGTGAGAGGATTCACCAGAGACAGAGTGGGGAGCAGAACAGGCAGACCTACGAAGTACACTGCTGAGGGTTGCAGCGAGCAAGACAGGAGAGGTCTGCTGAGCCAGGTGGGATTCTCGCCGGTCGGCCGGGATCGAACCCGCGCTGCAGAGGCTGCAGACAGCTTCACAGTGTGGCTTTCAACCGCCTGTACCACCAGGGAGGCCCCATCATCTCATTTTAGATACAAATAAAAAAGAACTCTTAGGATCTACTCTAACTTTCCTACATACTATACACCCTCAGCGCTAATCTCTGCTCATCCTGTTGTACGTTACATCCTTAGTACTTAGTTTGTTGGAACTAGAACTTGGTACCTTTTGACCACCTTTATCCAATCCCCTGGCATTCCCCCGCCCTTTCCTGGCAACCACAGTCTGATCTTTTTTTCTACAAGTTTGGTTTTTTACTTGTGTTTTTTGTTTGTTTTAGATTCCATATAGAAGTGAAGACCCACACTACCCGCCTTTCTCACATAATTTCTGAACGTGATATTTTTTCCTTATCAGACTGCATCCTTTGATTTTTACTAATAAAAAAAATCTTAGTGTTGATTTTTTTTTCATTTGTAAAGGCAGGCAAATGGCGCGTGGAGGCGCTAAGTTAAAATGGACCGAAAAGAGATTTTTAAGTATGCGCTTGGTGCATATGGAAGCCAGCTGCCTGTCAATAAAAAGGAGAACCACACCTTTTGCTGCTAATTGATAAAGTCATTAAGTACTTACTAAGCTACTTCCTTGGACTACACATGGTCCTAAGGGTCAAGGGTGCAGCAGGGAGCAAAATACTGCCAGCTCTTGGGATGTGTGCAGTCTAGACATAAGCCGAAGGGACTCCTGGAATCTGAGGAGTGAATAGAGTGACATATTGTCATCTGCGCTATTAATATGTGAAAACAAAAGTAATGCACTTTTGAGACATTTAACACATTGTGAGTGCTTATTGTGGTTGCCTGTCATCCTGACAATAGCTCAGAAATAGGAGAAAGGCCTCACTCTCCCCATTTTCCAGACATGGAAGCTGAGGCACAGAAGGATTACGTACTTGGTCAGGATCACGCATTTATGACATGAGTGACTGAGTCATGGATCAAACCCAGGCCCCTTGATTTTTGATTAGGAATTCTATGTCTATGTACCTGTAAAATGAAATATTTATGTACAATAAAGTACTATATGTACATTGCACTGCTGGGAAAGTCTTTCATTACATTGGCATGGTGTTCTTGGAATGAGGGAAAAGGAAGGAACACTGAATGGGTAAACAAAATCCAGCTGTTATAAGGAAATCAGAGTTGAACTAGAAATGGGTGGCCTGACCTGTCTTGATAGTGTAGTTGAAAAAAAGTCTGTGTTTATTTAATATTTTCATCTTTAGTTTGTTGTTCCCATAGGCACTGTTCTGGGAAAATAACCACCTCCTGGTCACTAGTTTTGCCGACAACACGCGTCGCTATATGCCTCTGTGTGACGTTCTGTACGGCAGGGTTGGAGACTTCGTGAGCTGGTGTGGATATAAAAATGGATCAGGTAAGACCAGCACAAACCGCCAGGCCTGCTGGAGCCCCGCTGCTCCCTGGGGCCTCAGGGCACCAGGTTCCTCTGTACCAGCCCTGCAGCTCTTTGCTTTCTGCACATTTGTGTTGCAAAGTGACAAAGGGATCATGCAGGAGAAACACATTTTGTGGAGCCAGTAATATTTTCTTTTTTTAAAAAAAGATTTATTTATGCATAAAAGAACTGGGTTACAGGCCAGAGGTGCGGGGGGTTGGGGGGAGGTGAGAGGATTCACTAGAGCCAGAGTGGGGAACAGAACAGGCAGATGTACTGAAATACACTGCTGAAGGGAGCAGCGGGCGAGACAGGAGAGGTCTACTGCACCATGTGGGTCAGCTCCTTGGCCAGGGATTGAACTTGCGCTGCAGTGACTGCAAATAGCTTTACAGTGCTGCATCTTAACCCCTGTTCCACCAGGGAGGCCCCTGAGTAATATTTTCAATTAGTCTTTCCTGATATAGTCTTTGAGATCAAATGAGTGTGCATGTTTTCCCCTTAGGACTGGACTATGAATCCTGCCCTACAATGGAAGACTGTGAGAACAACCCTGTGGATTCCTACTGGAGAAGGGCCTCCATGCAGGTAATCCTGGCGCCTGGTCGGCCCACCTGGGACCCATGATCACAGGCCGGGGGGGGTTCCGAGGCCAGGCCAACAGGTCATATCGTAGCTTCTCTGGCCTCACTTTCCACTCAGGTAACATTCTGATTCATTTTCTCTGTTCCATGCAGATTTAAGAAACTAAACTATTTAAGGCAGTGCCTGGCCCAGAGAAAACATTTGGTCCAATTAGCTTTCACTGAGGTTATGGAATAGTCCTTATTTTTACTAATTAGGTCCTTGTTGCTTTTATGATTTTTAAGTCAATGTGATTTTTAAAAATGCATCTTTTACTTAATGAGATGCTCTGTAAGAAATTTACAACACCCACTTGTGAGGTTCAGTTCCATTTGGGAGAGGATGGTTCACAGGCAGGACTGGTCTCGGCTCCAAGGACAGGCTTTGATTTGGGGCAGGAGTTGTGAGTCCACAGCTTTCTGGTCAACCTGTGCCTTCACCTCCTGTTTCTCCTTCTCTGTGAAGATGATCTCACCTCCCTGGCGTTGGGCTTAAGCGTCTTCCTCTTGAAGTCAGATCAGAGAGATGCTTGGGGATTTCACACCACTGACATTAGTTTCGATGGAGGCAGTGATGGCAAGTTTCTGGCGTGTTCTGTGCAGAGGAATGCCATGGCAGGACAGAGGTCCCATCACAAGTAGCCGCTGCTCAGCTGCTACAGGGAAATCCCCTCCAGCCCTTGTGGCCTCAGCGAGGAGGGTCAGAGTGGTCTAGGGGTGAGGCTCATAGTTTTCTCACCTGTGGTGGCTCACCAGCTCTTGAGGTGCGTCTCCAGGGGGGTAATGTCTCGGCCTCTTGTGAGGTTAACTCCCTTGGGGACCACCATTGTTGTCACCGCCAACTGGTTTTGTGACGTAGCAAGACAAGAACCGGCTCTTTTTTCCTTTTCAATCCTGGGCTGAGCTGCTGAACACTTCCTCTTGCTTGTGGCCTTTCTGGGATACACAGTGGTTGGAGCCCTGGCTGTCTCCCTGACTAGGACAGGGCTTCCACGGCAGTGGGGCGTCCCCTTCTTAGGCGTTTTGGCCTTAGGGTCCCTTTTTAGCCTTGTCTCCAGCATCATCCATCTTGGCTCTGGGTTTCTCCTCTCGAGTAGCTGGCTTCTCTGCCTTTTTACTCGCCATCTCGAAAATGGGAAAGAGAACGAAGGTGAGTCTGATTGCTGTGTAGCACAGGGGTGCCCTGAGGCTGGAGGAGGGGTCAGGCGTGTCCCTGAGGGGGATGTTAACCAGAGAGGAGGTGACAGGGGACTGGATGAGCTGGAGAGCTAGAGGCACTCCCCTGTGGAAGGTCTGTTCCCAGAGCAGCTGATCATTATCAGTGGCTATAGAATGCCAGTGAGTAAGTTAACACTCTCTACCACCAGCATTAGAGCAAAGATAGAAATAAAGAGGGCTAGGTCTTAGATGAGTGTCAAGCGAGACTGACCTTTGGATGCTGGTCATGGGTGGGGGGACAGGGGGTGCAGTTTTAAGGGGAGGGTTCCAGTCCAGGCTGGGAGCTGGGCTGCTGCTCTGGGGTGCTGGTGGGCACAGCTTGGCCCCAAGCTCCTGGCAGGGTCCTGGCAGGACTCTGCCCTTAAGGACAACAGCCTCCTCTCCCCCAGCAAAGCACAGGCTGGCACTGACCCCAGAGCAGGCCCCGGGACATGTCCAGCTTGACTGGGAGCCGCTAGCTCCCCCGGGCCCTCGTTTTCCCATTAGCAAAGTGGGGATGGGCCTGTCTGCATGTCTGTAAAGGCACACGATGGAAACATGTCGCCCCGCAGATTCCTGCCGCCAATACTTGGGCGTGCCCTGACCCAAAAGCTCACCCCCACCTGGAGGGTGGCCACCCTATCGCCTGCACGTCTTGGTCATTGTCCCAGGACAGTTAAGGAGACCACACTCTGCCCCCTCCCCTGCCCCCTGCAGCCAGGATCACCACACAAGCAGCCATCAGATGCAATCAGGCCCTGCTCCAGCCTGGACGGCACCCGCCTCCCGCGTGGCCCTGGCATCCTGGCCTCAGGGCCTCTGCACTGGCACCAGCCGTATCTACCTCCCGGCCGGCGTCCCTGCTCCTGAGCTCCTGGGCCTTCCCCGCCTTCAGGTTTCAGCGTCAGCTCCTGTACCTGTCCTGCTGGCTAGTTTTGAACGTGCGGGCTCCCGCTGGTCCATTAAGCTATGGTCTGACCACCCCGGGAGGCCGGGGCCTCAGGGTTCATCCGGGTGGATGCTGGTGCCAGGCCCGCAGCAGGAGCTTGTGTTCTACAGGGATGAGCGAGCGCGGGCAGGCGGGAGCCCAGGTGTCCCCTCACCTTACGGTAGCTGGCGTGGGCATCCTTGAAGCGCTGGCTCAGGCTGTTGATGCGGTCCAGCACCAGGCGCCACACCAGGTAGTTCTGCAAGGTCCTGCGGGCGGTGGGGCAGAGCACAGAACAGGCGGGCCAGGGAGGGAGCACAGCGCACGGGCCAGGCCATCGGGCCCGCCCCACGGAGGGGTTCAAGGGGCAGAGGAAGTGTCAGAGGCAGCCCTGGAGGGGCCGTCTGGCCTGCCATGTGCACTGATATGCTTGGGGCGGGCTGACACCTCAGATGACACCTCATCAACTCCTTAGATGAGTTGACTTAGAATTGTCAACTCTATTGATAAATGGATTCTGGATCTTCCCACCTGCCAAAAATGAAGCCCCCTTGAAAGAGCCACGTGGCTTTATCCCATTTTCTGCTCTGGATCCCAGGTGTCCGTGGGGCCCAGTGTAAGTCATGGGGAGAGGGACTTTGGTCAGTTTCCTTACCAAGGAGGGAAGGATCTGCTCCAGCCAAAAGGCACCCCACATTCTATTTATGCCCGTGCATTCCTGCCAGTTGACGCCACTACCCACAGGTCCCACTTGGAGTGGACTAAATGCCCCAGTCAGTGGGTATTTGGTGCCAGAGCCCCTAATTAAAAATGGGGAGATTATGTATGGATCAACACCAGAACATGGGATCATCACAGCAGGTTGCGGAACTACTTCCTCAGCTGAGGTCCCAGAGTGGGGACATTTGAGGTGAAACACCAGTGAATCTGGGGTGAACAAGTAGGGTGAGCATGAAACTAGTCTCTGCTGTTGAAAGTCACTGGATTGTGAGCTCACTTGTCATGGCAAAAATATCTTCACTTTTTCCCACTGACACAAAGCCAAAATCTGATGTAACATTATATCCTTAGCATAGATCCCAGACTTGGAGTGACTGAGCTTGGGTTTTTTACATTTCAAAGCAATTTGCATTCTAAGAATTACCAGCTTGCCCCCAGTAGCCTAGCGAAATACCAAATTTATCACAGTCTTGTCAGTATCTAGAAGGCTCAATTTTTTTTTGTAACTGTGCATTTTATAGCTGAAAATGGCCTGTCCTAATTTATTCATAATTTGCTTCTTCCTGCAGTATGCGGCGGACAGTTCTGGTGTGATCTATGTTATGCTGAATGGCTCAGACCCAGCAGGAGCCTATCCCCTCAAAGGGTAAGAACACAAACCCTAGTGAACATAGCAAAGAATGCCTAAAGTGTTATTTTCTTGTTTTGAAGATTTATTTTTATTTATTTCTGCATACAAGAACTGGTGTAGGCCAGAGGTGCAGGGGTGGGGCTGGGGGAGGGGGTGCGAGGATTCACCAGAGACAGAGTGGGGAGCAGAACAGGCAGATCTACTGAAATACACTGCAGAGGGGAGCAGCGGGGGAGACAGGAGAGGTCTGCTGCACCATGTGGGTCAGCTCCCTGGCTGGGAATTGAACTCATACTGCAGTGGCTGGCGATAGCTTTATAGGCTGAGATTTAACCCTGCACTACCAGGGAGGCCCATGTTATTTACTTGTTTTGAACAGAGGCTTAATGAGAATCATCCTAATCCCCAATCTAGTGCTGGATTTTGTAAATTCAGGCAAAGCGAAACAATTATATGGCCTGGAAATCAGAGCCAAATCTACACATTTATACCATTTATACTGTTAACAGCTGATGAATGCGTGAAAAAAAAGTAACCTAAGAAGTGCTAAAAAAAATACCCTTAGTGCTTTCAAACAGGAAGTAATGTGTGCATCGGCTAACAGTGAGCTGGAAAAAAAAATCACACTGCTTAAGGACTTTAAGAACTGACTTTTCTGTGTCTCAGTTTTTTTGCAGACTATGAAATTCCCTACTTTCAGAAGGACAAGATCACTCGATTTGAGGTCTGGGTTATGCATGAAATTGGGGGACCCGTACTGTAAGTTATGTTACAATTGATGATAAATTGTGCAAATATGCTTTCTTGGCTATGATACAATCAAGTTGTTTTAGGAAAATAACAGTCTAGAGAGACCTTGGGTGGAGACTCTGGTCCTTTTTAATGCTACTTGTAGGAGAGACTGAACAGCCCTTTCTGTTTGTGCCCATCTGGTTTTCTCTTTTCTTTGGGTTGAGAAAAGCAAAGGCTTGCCCGGTCTGGAGCACAGAGAGAAAACCTTTATCCAGACATTCCTTTCAACGAAGGACAATTGTTTTCATTTCTGAGCAAGCTGGGCAGCACTGGAGAGGTGAATTCCTTATGCATTTGTATGGGTCAAAGTCAGTTTCTCCTTGGCCACTTGAAGCCCCAAAACTCTCACCAGGAGTTCTCAGAATTGATTTGAGGGTTTGTGGGTAAAGATTTTATTCTCAGAGAACAACCAGATCCATAGTTGGGTCTCCGATAACTGGCGAAGAAAAGTTTTAAGACCCTCATTTTTTGCAAACCTCTTGAGTGTATACAAATGCAAGCTTGAACTCCTCCTCATCAATGACGGAAACCGAAGATAAAAACCTAAACCCATTTGGTTCAGAGGCAAATGGGCCATAATGGCGCGTCAGAGGCAAACTGGAGCCTTGTTCTCTGGTAACTAGTGGAGGAAAGTGTTTCAAACCCCAGTGACTGGATGTGCTCTGGAAAGTATGTTTTAGAAGAATTTTAATAAATCCCCATCTCAGGCTCCCAGGCCCCTCTGACTCATCACAGAACCAGTGATACGTTTTCCTGATACTTGGGCAATAGGTGAAATTTGCAAATGACTTATTGCATAATTCAACTGGGATCCACATGTGTCTTCTTGGAAAACATATTTCTTGTTGCATGAAAAACAATGTGTATTGTTTTCTTATTTCTGTGAGAAGTTGCTCTTTGTCCAGAAACTGTGCTTGTGTGCTGTTTTCACATGTCTATCAGAGAAAGCTTGTCCTTTGAACCCACCTGAAATGAGATAAGGATAGTGCCAGTCAGTTTCGTCATGTCCATCATTTGTGCCACAAGAGAGGTGATAAAGGGTTCAGGATACTAGTGGAATATTTGAGCCACAGGGTGAATTGTGGTACCCTGAAAGCGGTACCCTGACTTGCTTAGGTTTTAGGGGAGAAAACTCATAGATACCGAGTTAAACCAACGTGACCAATACCCTATCGTGTCCAGCTCTGCTTTGGCTGCCCTTATTTAACACATAGTAAAATAAGCCATTGACTGACTCTGTGTCCAATGAAACCTCACGTCATTGCTTACGGAAATGACCTAAGTAGGGACCTTTGCCCAGAGAAGGATATCTTTCCAGATACGGGTAAGTTTCTAAAACATGATGTCACAGGACACCTTGGCCATTCCATGTAAACTGAGGAAGGGCCCCGCCTGCCAGAGCCACATCATCTCTATTAGCCAAGGTGCGGGTAGCACTGCACCCACAGATTTCCCCCATCTGTTTGCCTTTATAAATTCTCCCTGTGACCATCAAGCAGGAGGGCAGGCTGCCCTGCTGATGAGAGAGTGGAGAGGTGGCATCTCGTGCTGTGTGGGGGTTGGAGTTTACGCTAAGGAAGCAGGAAAATAATGATGTGAATGAAAATAAAGTTTCAACAAGATTTGTGTAGTGTCATGACATGAAGATACAGGCGTCAGCCATGGTCTTCAACACGAGGGGATTGGTTTTATGAATTATGTTCCCAGGGTAGGAGGGCGACAATGTGGGATTTAAAATGATGACAGAGATCGATGTGTACCTACGTGGATGGGGAAAGGAAAATGCAACATGCACTGAGCAGCAGAATCCCGCTGCTCTAGGTGAAAGGACTGAGAGTAATAAGTACACTTTGAAAGTGTGGGGTGATAGACACCCCAATTTAGCTGCACTTAACTCTGGTGATGCAGATCTGGGGTCATGTTCCTTTGCGGGTGATCCCTCTTGTGTGTTGCATTTTCTTGTGTTTCTTGGACTCACACTGTCATTCGGAGGGTGACGTAGCACACGCGATGAGCAGGCTGGCAGCTGGCTCTGTGCTTGGTCACTGCACAGAACGGATGCGTGTGGATGGGGGCGTCTTTGCCCTGCATGCACTGCTGGGGGGCTGCTCATACCACGGAGGCTCCGAGGTCCGTGGGGTGCAGCGGGTTTACAGCGACCCCCGCTTTCGGGGCGAAAGACTTTCCTATAACCCACAGAGAGCAGAATATTCCGGGAGCATGTGGTCAAAGAATTTTAATTAAACCTAGAAAACATGTTATGATGTGTACCCCAATTTCAGCCGGGGCTGGTGGCGCGGTGCCCTTTTCTGTTTGCTGTTCTATCTGCATGTTTTCTGTTTTAGGGAGTCCTGCGGAGAAGGGACCGTGAAAGTCCTGGAAGACAGACTGAAGGGAATGGGCTTTCAGTACAGCTGCATCAACGACTACGCGTAGGTGGGGTGTGTCTGTCCATGCGGGAGTCCGCGCTGCACTGCGGTGCTGGGGGCGCGGGCTCTGGAGAGCAATTTGCAGGACCAACTCTAGAGGCCATGGGACGGTACCTTCCGGGCTTGGGCTCTGAAAGCGCCTCCTGGCCAGGGTTCTGCCCAGAGTCCTTTCTAGTTCTTCTAGAGGACCCAGCCGCCCTTCCCCTTAGTGTCTGACTGACTCTCTCCTTGGAGAGCAAGTCACGCGAGTAGCCTGCTAGCCGGGCCTGGTAGCCAGCAGCTTTGGACTCTGCTGTCCAGGGGCTGCTTGTCCAGGATAGATACTAAGCTGGACTTTGAGACCCTTTATCCAGAGCGGTCTTGACTGTAGAGCAATAAAATAATAATCACAGCCATTTACTGAGCACATTCTGGGCCAGGCACTTTACACATCTGCAATCAGATATCACTGGAGGGCTTCCTCAATTCTTGGAAATTTAGATAAACTCGTTCACACCCCAGGAGAGCTGGCAGCCCTCCCCTGCCCAGCGAAGCCTCACCTTGCTGCTCCCGGCTCCCCTCTGCCTCTGCTCCTGTGTGTCCTCTGTGGTTCCTCAGGGGGTGGGACGGTGACTTGGTGGCTTTCTTGAAAGTCTGTGGGTGTGGCAGGGTGCAAGAGACACCCCAGACTGTCTGGCACCCATGACCATCCACAAGCTTTGCCGCCCTCTGCCTTCTCAAAAGCTGCAAGGGCTAGATAATCCTCGCCCCTGGACAAAGCCTCCTGGAAGCGTGGGTCTCCTGCCACACATGCCTCTGTTGGGGTGCAAAGGGAGTCATCCCAACCCCTCTAGATTCTTCTATGCATGAGACAGATTGCTAAGAGAAAAAGTCATTAAGTAGTTTTAATGCTAAGATATATACCTCCTGTCTACCTGGGAGGCATCCTGCATGGCTGAGAGACCCACCTCATGGCTTCAGATGCATCTGAAATAGCTCAGCTAGGATGGACCTTGGGGGAAGAGAAAGGAAAATCAGGAGGTTTATGGGGAAGGTACAGTTGACAAAGGTATGCAAATTAAGTTATGCTTCTCCACTGAAAAGCGAGAAGGGTATGTATTTATCCCCTCCTATATATATAAGGGAGAGTAAATTTGTATTTGTAAATACAAATATCAAAAGCCACTTCCACCCAGCCTTCGGATGCCCTCCCATGAAATTAATCATTTGCCAAAGAGACATTTTGGGGTGGCAGGTCTTTTCTCTGCTACAGGGTGTAACAAACAATAACAAATATATCTATGGAGTGTACACGTTACTGAAAAGGAGGGATGAGTCACAGAGATTCCACAGAGCAAATGATGTAGGTCAGTCTCTCTAGTCACTCTGCCCTGAATGTCTGGGCGTCTGCCTCTTCCTGATGCCCTTTGAGCCGCATCTCCTGGCTCCTCTTTTCCCTCTGCTTCCCTGCCTCGCCTCCCCGTAATGCCGTGTCTTCTCCCTCTACTGTGTGCATTTTACCTTCCTTTGCTGAAATCTGGGAACCAGCACCATCCCATGTGCTTCAGATCCAACCTCCTCCCAAAGTACTTATCAAGAGGTTTTCAGAGCAAAATCATGCGTCTGTACAGAGGTGTTGTGACTCCTGGGCTCTGGAGAGAGCCAGCAAGGCACAAATTCACCTCTGCAGCTCGCTCCTCTGAGAACAAGGGCAAGTTACTGCGGTCAACTTTCTTTCCAGCTGTCCATTGGAGATGATAATCATCCCTTGCTCTGGTTGTTGGAGGAGTAAATGACTTCATCTACATACAATCCATAGTGAATTTTTTGGGTACATAGTAAGTGCTCAAAAAATGCTGGCTAATATTTTATAAAGGATATAATTGGTGTGCCCGTCGAGGTCAGACTTTGGATCTCCAGTACCTTGGGGGCACGCTATAAATGATGACTGGAAGTCATTGGAATAGTCCTTTCAATATTTTCCTTGCTTTCTCTAGACCAGTGAAGCTGTTGAAGTGCGTGGACCACAGCTCTCATGGGGATTGTGCCTTGAATTCGTAAGTAATTGTTTTAACCTGATCCTTGTTCCCCAAGAGAGTCAGTCTTGACTATTTACAGACCAATGATGAGTTGCAATATGATTTTACTCCCTCCCAGTAACATGCCACAGTGCATTTGCACATCTGCAATCCCATCTCTCAGTCTCTCTGAGCTACGAGGTTACTGTGGATTTGACGGACCTCTGTCCAGCCATCCAGCTGAGCTGTGCCTGTGCTGTGGAGCAGAGTCTGCCCTCTGCAGCCCTCTACGTCAGTTGCACTTGCTTCAGCAGAAATTCCAAGAGTGGCATGGCAAGAGGACCTTTTAAAATTTACTATCTAACCCTAATAGATTTTAAAATTATATTAATTTTTCAGGAAAAGTAACACGTGCATGGGGTGAAATTTAGTTACAAAAGGGTAGAGAAAGTGATCATCTTCCTTCCTTTACCCGTCAACCCCCAATTGTCTTACCCAGAGGCAACCACTACTTCTAATTTCTTGGGTGTCATTTCTGAACATTCTCTGTCTGTAACAGCACACACATACGTATCATTCATAAAAATGATAATATATCTAGAAAGCTTCCTCTTCTCACCCAAGGACATGAAAAGATAAACTCCAAATTGCTATCAGTGGCTACCTCTATAGGGAGGGGTGTAAGAACTGGAAAAAGATGAAGAGATACTTATCGTTGTTGCTTATGAATCATTTTATTTCATTTAAAGTAAAACTAAATTAATCATTTTATTTATTTATTTATTTTAAGATTTATTTATTTATGCATAGAAGAATTGGGACATAAGCCAGAGGTGTGGGGAGGGCCTGGAGGTGAAAGGATTCAGCAGAGACAGAGTGGGGAACAGAACAGGCAGACTGACCGAAATACACTGCTGAGGGGAGCAGCGGGGAGACAGGAGAGGTCTGCTGTGCCATGTGGGTAGCTCCCTGGCTGGGGATTGAAATCGTGCTGCAGTGGCTGCAAATAGCTTCATAGGTTGCGTCCTAACTCTTTGTGCCACCAGGGAGGCCCCCATGAATCACTTTATTAACTAATGAGCTATTTAAAAACAAAACCAGTTTTTTGTGTGGGTGGGTGGGGGAAATGACTCTAGTCTGGGACATTATGTGACCCAGATGTGCAATTATAGAACATGTCCAGCAGGTGGAGCCCAAGCACAAGTTTGTGGGCCCGCAGCTTTGGCATCAAGTCCTAGGCCATGGGAGAAAGTCCAAGCCAACTGCAGGTCAGTTCGTAATTCAAAAACAACAACAATGAAACACCGTATTTTCTAATTGGTCTAAAACAATTTAGTAACTTCTGAGGGGGACAAAAAGCAAACATTGTTTAAAAATGAACAACGATGTAAAATACATATATATAAACTGAAAAAAAGAAAAAAGAGATAACTTGGTGGTCAGACCCAATTCGCCATGACCAGAATCCATATTTTGACTGGGACTTCTCTTGATGTCAGGATATTGCTTTCCTTCCTCCTGAAACTCTGATGATGTCATGTCCATTGACGGGGAGCGGTGCTAGCTGACCCCTGGCACACGCACACAGGGTGAATGCATGCACGGGCAAGAATGGGTTGACTCCTGGTGCCAATATGGAAAGCCCAAGAGCAGTTTAGAGGAAAATACGAGGTGTAAATTCCACTTGTGCTTATATAAAAGGATGCCTGTGTGTGTGTGTGTGTATGTGTGTGTGCGTGTGTGTGTACGTGTGTATGTGTGTGATATTTCAACAATTGAAACTATCAGGGACCGTTCTCTATGGAAAGTGGGAATCCAGAGACTCAGACACTTTTACTGTTCATTTTCACTTTCTGTGTTTGCATATTTCTCCGGTGTGCATGTATATTTTTGCAAGTGAACACTTTACACCCATTCTGACCTTTTCTCTGGTCCTTTTTCCATTGGCAGGGCAGCAGCATTCTCACAGCGACAACTGCTGTCCCTCTCTGCAGGACAAAGCGGCGGCCTCCTCGTCTCTCTCTTGCTGACTTGGGCTTTGGCTGCTCAAATATAACTGCAGACCGATAGTGCTGTCTCCCCAGCCCCAGCCCTGGCGCCCAAGCCCTTTCTCTTGCTGTCTGTGCCGAGTGATGGCGTGATCCAAAGAGCTTCGTGATAAGGAAGCACTGTCCTGAAATGATTGCCAGTAACCTGTAGGCTCAGGATTTCAGAAACCAGAGACGGATCTCGTTCTTCTAAACAGGTTAAAACTACTGCCGTGGAATTAAAGCAGGTTTATTTTCTTGTTTTCTTAATGATACAAAGCATTGAGATCCAAATGGTTTGTGATATAATCAACTATTTTTCGAGAATTCTTACATACCCTTATTGTAAACAAATAACGGGGAAGGAAATAAATCAGGCCTCTGGGCTGTGGTCTTAGCAGTTTCCTACTTTTGACTTTTGACATTTTGTGTCTAATGAGGATGCACGACTGTTATACTCAGATAAGGAGAAAAATGCACCTGTTTCACGTAGTGTCACACATGTGACACAACACAAAGTATTTGACACAACACAAAATATTTCCAGAAGAGAAAAAGACAAAACTGAAAGCTTCACACAAACACTTCTCTCTTCTCCTTACCCTTTTTCTACCGAAAGCAAGTGCAGCTCATTCAGATACAAGAACTTGCTGAGTAGGACGTGCCAGCAGCAGCAGCAATGGCAGGACGCCAGACTTCCCCCAGGGCCATGCAGATCTCCTCCAGAGAAGCAGAAGTGCCCCTCGGCATGGAGTTCCCCAGGCCAGGGCCCTTTCTCCCTCACCCTAAGCCCCATGTCTAGGAAGGCTCTGCCGATGGTCCTTCCACTCCATTTGTGTGGACACTTGACTGAATAGTTACTGTCAAGTTGGGAAGCTCACAGCTTGGAGTGTAACTTACATTAATGTTCCACCTTGTCAGTACCTGGAGATCATGTCACGCTCCATTCAGGGGCCCCGGTGCTGGGTATGAGTGAAGGCCTCCAAGCGGGTTCTCTGACCTCTTCTCTCCCTCCTGGTTGTTCCTCATCTCCCACAGTCACCCTTTCCTTCACCATCATGAACGCGCTGGTATTTATTGGGTTCTTACTGCCAGCCAGGAGCTGTTGTAAGGGTCCAGAAAGCATCACAGCTTGATGTAGTTATCACAAAGCTGGTATTGTAAAAAGAATTTTCCTGAGGCTTGAGGTTTTGTCACTTCTTCAAGGTCCGGGAGCCAGTAAATGGAGGGGAGGCTTTACAACCAGGTGGACTGACTCTGGAGCTGGGGTGCTTTACCAGCTTCTGTACTAAATAAGGTCCCACAAATGCTGAGGACCCCTGGATTCTGTCCCAGAACCATCTGACTTCAGTCTGAGATTTTCTTTTTTCAAATTTATTTATTTATGCATGCAAGAGCTGGGGTGTGGGCCAGAGGTGTGGGGCTGAGAGGATTCACCAGAGACAGAGTGGGGAGCAGAACAGGCAGATAGATTGAAATGCACTGCTGAGGGGAGCAGCAGGGAGTCAGGAGAGGTCTGCCGTGCCATGTGGGTAGCTCCCTGGCCTGGGATCGAACTTGTGCTGCAGAGGTTGCGGACAGCTTCATAGTCCTCACGCCTAACCCCTTGTGCACCAGGGAGGCCTCAGTCTGAGATTTTCTACTCTGCGCTCCATGCACCTGTGTGTCCTGGTCTCTCTGGCACACTTCGATACAAGAAATAATCTCTTAGTCCCCTAACTGGGCTTCCTTGTGGTCTACCCTTGCTACTCTCTTCTTCACTTCAGTACATTTAATGATACCTGGCAGGTGTCACCTTCCAACTCAACATCTTACTCAAATGCCTTGAGGTGAGGATTATATTCATGGTTACCTGGGCCAAAAGTCCTCCCAGGTGTGCAAATGAGCATGAGGAATTACCAGTTCCAAGATTCCTCTTTCACTACCTGAGGCCCTGTGGGGATTTGAAGAAGCCTGGTATGGATGGTTCAATCATGGGATTTTTTTTTTTCTTTTTACATTAATGTTGGATACATGTATGCTTTGGCATGCAATTAAGGCCATGGATGTCTGACCTTAGCTTCAAAGGAAACATTTGATCAATGTTCATAGGAGAAAAAAATAAAGGAAAAGAAAACATCCTTTGTAATGTTGCTTGGGACTGCCCCAGCTCACTCACCAGCAGATCCCAAGCAGTAGAGCAAATGAAGCCAGGAAGGATGGGTGCACTTGCCAAACTACTTTTGTTTGCAATTCAGCCTTTCTTCTTCTTTGCGTAGGTTCTGACATTTCATGATGCCCTCCCTGCCCAATGCGCACTGAGGTTTCCAGATGGGCTCAGACTGAACTAACTCTGGTGTATGGAGAGTGTCTCTTGCGTCCCCTCTTCCCGCCGTGTCTGGTGAGAGTAGATTACAGTGTCTGGTCACATACCCCCTGGTCAGCCAAGGAGAGAAAAGCAGGGCGGCTTCCAAGGCAGGAGACCTTGCCAGGGGCCCACCATGGGAAGGGCCCTGCTTGCGCTAACATTCTTCTTTAAAGTCTTTGAAGTCTTCATTTCAAATGAGGAGCATTTTCATGTTTTCACTGGGCCCTGCAAATTGTGTCTGGTCCCGAGGAAATTCTCTCAAGTCGAAGGGAGCTCTATTTTCCCTTGGTCACTCTGTCTGACATGCAAGAAGTAGGAAAATGGATGCTGCCCAATCTTGGCCAAAAATGCAGAACTGACCACAGGCCTCTGTGCTTCGGCAGCTGAAAATACTCTGCATTTGTGTACCTGGGGAATTCCTCACCCCCTCGGTCCCACTTTCCCATGACAGAAACTGGCTTCCTGCATTCCCAGGCCCTCTTTGAGCCAGGGTGACACCCATGACCTAAACTTGGCTGGCCAGGCAAGTATGCGGCTTCTCTTCAGCTGAGCTGGAAAGGGTGCAGGCTAGTTCAGTCTCACCTGGCCGGGGTGGGGGGTGGGGGGAGGAAAAGTCAGCTTTCGGGAGAAGCTGCACCTGCTGAGCACTAAGCTGCCCTCCATAACCCGACATGGCCTCCGTTCTCGCTCCTTGGGGTCTTGAACTTGCTGTTATCTCTGCACTGATTTCCCTTCCTGCCCTGCTATCTCCTTAGCAGCCTTGCCCACCTGGAAGACCCCTTCTCATGGAATCTTCTGGCACCGCCCCCACCAGGGCTGGAGCTGCTCTTTGCTCCCCAGGCCCCTGTGAATTCCACTGAGGACATTTATCTCTGCCGTCACATTGATGCTTGGGTCCCCAGTCTCCTCATTGTCGCCTGGGTCTCCGGTTTCTCTGCGCACTCAGCCATCTCTGCCTGCCTGGTATGGCTTGCCTGGATGAGGTGGACACTCCTTAAGTGGCTTTAGGGAGAGGACGGCTGTGCCAATGAACAGAGCAGCAGAGAGGAAAACTCGGGGCAGAGGGTGTTCTTTAATTTTCTTTTGAGTTTGGTTGGAGGAGGTCAGGATGGTCAGAGGATGAGAAGCATCATGGGCCATGCTTTTCTATATTTCCCTTATTTTTCAACAAAGCACTTGACATGCGTAATTATTACTATGTGGTTGAGGGGAGCAGGGAGGGAGGTGACAAGAGACATGCGACCTTGAGGTACCAGAAAGTAAGAGAAAAGGCCCCACCCAACTTCCTCTCACAGCTCCTCAGCCAGCAGTTCCTTGGGCTAATCTCCCAGAAGCCCCAGCCAAAGGCCTCTCTTCGTCCTGTCCTGGGGAACACAGTGTCCGCTGCCTTTGGGTTGCCGGGTGACCAGTCAGGTCTCAGAGTCCCTCACAGCACACTGGTCCTTGACTCAATCAGATGCTGCTGTTTTCTGTTCCACGGAAAGGAAATGTGTTATTTTAAAAAAATTGCTTTTTAAAAATACAAAATTAATGGTGGCTACTCACTTGAAAAATTTAAACAAGACAGAAAAATTCATAAGGCAATAAATGTCCTTATCTCTATACAAAGTAGTAGACTTTTCTCTGTATGTTCATAGACATTTTCATATTGCATATTTCAGCTCTATTTGAATGAGGAATGCAATCAAGGGCAGACTAGATTTTACCTTTTGTTGATAAAAAAGGAGCAGCTGGTTATTTTACCCACAAAATGGATTTATTTGGGAAGAGCAGAAGTATCTGGGAAACGCAGGCCATGGTGGAACATTGGCCAATCCAGAGAGGCAAAGGAAAGAAGCTTTTCTAGAGGAGAGGATGGAACTTGGGGGCTGTTCTAGATGAAAGTCCCTGGGAGGAGAGCGAGAGTCCAGGAGGTGGCAGCTTGTCCCTGGACGGGCTTCGGAGCTTCTGGTTGATGGGATAGTGACTGGGCAGGATGAGTCTGTCTTTGTCCTTCCATTTGGAAGGCTGGGGATGTGCTCCTGCTGTTGGGTGTGCAGTGAAGCGTCTCTACAAGGTGGCTGTGCTAACGTGACAGAGCTCACTCTACAGGCCTTCCCAGCTCTGACTTTAGCTGCGGTTTCCTTAATTAATTTTCAGACCTTTTAGCAATTGTATTAAAATGTTGATTTCAATCATCTAGCCATCTCCCTGTTTCTGATCTATTTCCCCCTCCAACTCAACTTCTAGAAAGCAGCCAGAGCAATCACCCTAAATTAGTGTCTGACTGCATCACCCCTTGCAAAATCATCTATCTACAAAATAAATTTCTTATTTTAAAATCATGAATTCAACATCCTTACATTTGCCCCCAAAACATCCTCCTAGTGCCATGTTCCTGTAGGCTCTGCCACACTCTCCAGGGCTTTCTCTAAATTCCTCATTCTAATAAAAGCCTCTATGTCTTACACCTTTGCTCACCTCTTTCTGGAATCTTCCCTTTGTGGTTTGTTTTTATGCCTGTCTCTTTATTTATTTATTTATTTATTTATTTATTTATTTAAAGATTTATTTATTTATACAAGAACTGGGGTACAGGCCAGATGCGCGGGAGGGCGAGAGGATTCACCAGAGACAAAGCAGGGAACAGAACAGGCAGACTGACGAAATACACTGCTGAGGGGAGCATTGGGCGTGACAGGAGGGATCTGCTGTGCCATGTGGGACCCTCGCTGGCCGGCCTGGATGGAACCGGCACTGCAGAGGCTGCGGACAGCGTCACAGTGCGGTGCTCAACTGCCTGGGCCACCAGGGGAGGCCCTGTCAGTCTCTTTAAAAAAATTTTTTTTTTTTAACATAGAAGAAGTGGGGTGTTGGCCAGAGGTTTGGGGGTTGAGAGGATTTACCTGAGACAGTGGGGAGCAGTGGTGAGAAAGGAGAGGTCTACTGCATCATCTGGGGGTTAGCTCCTCGGCCAGGGATTGAACTCAGGCCTCAGCAGTGATAGTGCTGATGCTTAACCCCTAGGCCAGCAGGGAGGCCCCCATGTCTGTCTCTTGAAGACAGTGACT